CTAGTAGTTCAAAGAATTAGGAAAAGGGAACAGACTGCTCCAAATCCAAACTTTTTCAGATTAAATCGAAGCTCTCAACGCCCTCTATCTTTTTAACAAAGGCCCTAGGCTAGATTCACACCCTAGGGAGATCAAACCTTAGAGAGAATGTAAGTTTAGAGAGAGAGAGGCTCGGATTTAGGGTTTAATCAAAGAAATGAAGTGAAAAAGTGATGTTTAGGACGCTGCTGTCCGCTGATATAAAACACGCTCGCTCGAGCGAAGCCTTAGTCGCTCGAGCGACCAGACACAGAAAAATCTCGCTCGAGCCAAGAAGTTCTCGATTGAGCGAAGAAAAATCCAGACCGCTCGAGCGAAGAAAGCTCGCTCGAGCCAAGAAAGACAGCTCTCAGGTCCAGAACCAGACGCAACACCACTCTCGCTCGAGCGACAAACTCCTCGCTCGAGCGAAGGACCAAAAATCTGGGCAGCAACACTAGGCTCCCAAACACAACCAACCTGTAACAAACCTGCCCAACACATCCCATAACTCAATATACAAAGTACAAAGGATGCAAACTAGATAATAAACAACAACCAACATCCACGGACACATGTCTGGATCACTGTACAACAAGGGTAAACCCGGGATCGCTATATGTCGTAAGAGTGTCCAAAGAGTGTCAGTGTCCGACGCGAACACGACATGGATACGTCAACTTCTTAGAAGTGTCCATGCTTCTTAGGTATTAAGCAAGAGAAACTCATCTCCAGCAACAAAAATTTGAACCATATAGAGAATAACTTTCAAATTTTGTTGACTAACATATATTGAAAAGAAAACTAGTAGTTCAAAGAATTAGGAAGAGGGAACAGACAAAAACAACCTCCATTCCCTCCACCGCATCATGACATGGGTATGCAAATAAAGGAAGAAATAGTGAAGCTTTAATGACTTGGAGCAATTAGGTTAGGTTCAAGATATGGAAATAGTTTATTTAAAATATAATCAAAACAACTGGAGATTTTAATAGTCAACCATGTTTTACTATCATTCGTGCACAGAAAAGCGTAATAAGCAAAATAATAATCTGTGTTGCTAACCACAGTAAAATAAAATAAATGAAAAATTGGTATAGTACAAAAAATACATGGATCATACACCAATGAAGTATTAAGTTTTTAACAATGGTATTGTTACATTTGAAAAGAACCACTTCTGCACTTACAATGTACATTAAATGAAAACACATTTTCTCAAAAGAAGCATATATATATACAAATACAATACACATAAATATTAATATATCAGTTCATAAGAATTAAGATGCATAATGTTCACATGTCATACTCATTCTCATATAATGTAATAAATGACCAACTACTGAGATCTTTCAATTTTTCCAACTCAATAAAGGGATAACCTGATTCACATGATCTTTTATACATTTACAGGTGCCTATCTCATTAACAGCATGTCGGAGAATTTCCTACTTCTCTCATCTATTATGGAGTTAACTATAACTGACTTCAAGATGGAAACATTTTTTGACCCATCTGTCAATGGGAAATTCAAGGAGAAAAAAAAAACACACAAAGTGATCATTCAATGAAGTTACAAGTGAATCTTCCCATACATGAGGTGGACAAGACATGCAAAATCTGCAAAACACTCTACATACAGTGCACACCTCTTGTAATTTCTCCCAAATTTTCACCCAATTTTCAAATTAAAGTGGTTAAAACTCAACCTCCTATTGTAATACCAATGCACCAAAAGGGAATGCAATATATCACCTTCTACAAACAATCAAATGCATAATCGATCTAGATTGTCTTCAACCAATCTTGTCATAAAGTATTGGTGGATTTAGTTTGATTTTCAAACATGAGATGAAAAAAAATCACAATCACACATTTCACAATGTAATTGTGTGGTTTTTCTTTTTGCTATTGTTATCTACTTCATTGACTTGCTAGATCATCGTGCATTTACAAATTAGCAATGACAGTTTACACACATGACCACAAAGATGAAACCATCAAATAGGATTGAAGAAACAATTAATTCACCCAAAAAATGATAATAGGAAAGAAAAGGTATGGGGGAAAAATTAATGAAAATCAAAAACGAAGAACAGTAATCTGTGACCCAAAAAATAAAAAAATAAAGAAAGATTGATTTTGAAATTCTTGTTCAAGTGACTTAATCTTTTGCTGGAAAGAAGACTGTTGAAGTCTTTGTTCTGTAGTGAGAAAACTAATTTCTTTTTGTAAGAAATTAATTTGCTTTTCTTTAAAATTAACTAGATCTTTGATCTGATCTAATTTTTTCTGTAATAAACTCGAAAATAATCGGTTGATTATTTAAGGTTGTATGACTGCCAATAGAATCAATTTTAGAAATTGGCATTAGTAAACACAGGAAAGGTGTTCCTAGGATTATGGCCTGAGACATGTTCTTTATCAGAACAAAAGAAGTGGGAAGACATAATCCTTGATTACAAATTAAAACTTCCGGAAGTTTATATTGAATATATAACGAATTACCACTTGCACTTGTAAGTGATTGAGTTGTTTTATGAAAGTATTTAGTAGGAATTAATCCTTCCTGAATACAATTCATATCTGCACCACTATCAACAAGAGCAATGGCATATTTTATCATAAAATCAGGTTTTATCATAAAGGTTATCCTGATATACCATTTCTGAAAGATAACGGTATTCATGAGCATGAGATAGTCAGGCTCCTTTGATATTGGAATTGAATCTGAGGTGGATTCATTAATAATGATCCCTTTTTCTTTATGCTGTAATTTACTATTAATTTTCTTAATCTCAGAATTAATAGCAATATTGGAAGTTTGTAAATGTTTAATTTCAACTTTTAAAGCATTAACTTCTATTTTTAAATCCTGAATTGTTAATGGTTTTTCTTCAGTAGGAGGTTGAAATCTTTGGAAAACTTCTTTCATACTGTAATGCTGAGGAGGAAGAATCTCTTCCTTCTTTTGTTGCTGTAAGCATAATTCTAAAAATTTTAATTTCATTTCTGGATTAGAAATCTGATCAGCAATGCTAATCATATTCTATTCTTCTTCGGTAAGAACATTAATACTGGATCTTCCAATATCAAGTCCATTCATTTTAACTATGGCTTTCCAATAGTTGACTTCATCAGAAATCTGATTAAGATTTGTTTTACAATCACAAATTTCTGGAGAATTATCAAATTCAGTGCCGGAATCGGAAGAATAAAGTGCTGCAATTTCATCTTCGTTATCAGAAGAAGTATCGGATTCAACAGAAAGCATTCTGAGAATCTGCTACTGGATTTCATTATCTAAAGATAATTCATTAAGCTTCTGTTGTATTTTGGATTTACAACGATTAGCATAATGACCTATCTGTCCACATTTGTAATATTTAATAGTGGATTTGGATTTTTTTCTGGAATATTTGTGTTTACCTTTTGAAGGTAATTGATGTTGCTGTTGAAATTGATTTTTAGCATATTTATGTTTTCTGGATTTTTTGGAATAATACTTTGAAGATTTTCCAATTTTATGTTTTTTCTGTTTGTGAGGATACTGTAATTTCGTATCATAGGAAAATTGTTCGCAGAATTCGCCTAATTCTTTTTTTCTTGTAAGATGTTATTTCATTTGTTGCTGTAATTTAAGGTCATCGCACAAAGCAAGTCCTTCATCAGTGATAATACCTACGAGTTGGCCATAGGTATATCGATTATATGGAATAGCTAATTGATTATGACGATCTCTTAACTTCTTTCTGACTCTTTCAGCAAAAAGAGTAGGAAGACCATCAATAAACTTAGCTTTCCAATGGTCTGAATTACCATCAACTCTGCGATGCATTTTCATTAGAAAAACATCTTTATACCATCTAAAATGAGATAAAGGCATGTATGGGGAAAAAATTAATGAAAATCAGAAACGAAGAACAGTAATCTTAGACCCAAAAAATAAAAAAATAAAGAATGATTGATTTACCAATTGAAGTCTGCACGAGAATGATCGATTAGAAGCGAAATGAGTAAAGCATATTTCCTGGAATGCAAAGAACGCAATGCGAAACAAGCGTGTATGTAGTGGAACAACTCTCCCTTGTGAGCGAGTGAGCGGTGAGTGTCCTAATGGGCCCAGCCCACTTTCAAGCATGATTGAACGCAAGGAATACAGTACAAGTGGATCAAAATCTAACTCAAGCCCATTTTCTCTCTCATGCAGGACCGGCCTTGATTGATTTTCATTAGGGCCTATTCGAACTCATGAGTGGGGGATTTCTTTTTTTAATACGTATATTTATAAAAAAATAGAAATTATGAGTAAAATGACAATTTGGGGGCCCAAGCCTCTCTCGAGTTGGGCTCATTCCACTTCCACTCCGGATCCGACCTGAATAAAGAATTACAAATCAATATCCGGTCGGTCACCCAAACTGTGGCTTTTAAAAGTTAACTATTTTAATAGGTTATTTTAATTTTTAATTATTTTAATAGATTAAAAATTGTGTGTTTATAATTAGATGTGATGTTCGTAAAAAAATAAAATAAAATAATTATAGATTTAATGTGACATTTTATCTTATTTATTAATTTAATCTATTTATGCAACATTACTGGCTTGTCCAATGAAAGTTTAACTCATCCAATGAAACATGTATTCATAGCTGGACAATTAAAATCTTCATATGACACGTAGGCTGCATACTCTCCATGCACGAAATGTGAAACCCAAAAAGGTAAACAATGGAAAACACACAACAGGAATTCAATTAGGACTAAAACCATATATATAGATGGTATGATAACGAGTTTGTTTTGGTGAGTATCATATGATTTGAGTTTAACTCCACCAAACACTACTTTCTCTTTATTACACACAATCATACATTTAAATATATACATATATATATATATATATGGCAAATTCTGATGACAACAGAGTTTCATAACACAGCTCATGGGATTCCAACAAAGCTTGAGAAAGGCAACAATCATGGTTTCTTGGCTTTGACAACAACTTCTAGGATACCATCAGGCCTAAAATTGGGAGAACATAGCCTGGGGTCAACAGGTCCAGGCAAATCAAAGGTAACATGGAAGGGTCCACTTGGACACAGTTGTTCAACTTTCATTTCAAACGGATTTAGCATATCCTTTAACATTGCAACATTTCCCACCAGTCCTTCGACATGTACCTGAGCATTAGGTTGAATAGTATACTTCACATTACCTGAGATGAAAAACAATCTCTATTTGGTCATCTCCTCCATTTCTATTTATTTTTATTTTTTTTCATTTTTGGTTTTCAATGATAATGTGAGGATTCATGCAAATGGAGAAATTCCTAAAGCAAATATCAGTAGCAACTACATGTCCTACTCTTTTGTCTGGTTGATCACAACTTTCTATTTGCTTGAGGTAAAAACATTTCACATATTGCTCCCCGATTTTCAAGTGCATAGCAAGTGGCATTATGTTAAGACAGAATCGAAAATTTTGCTGTGTAGTCACTAGAATACAACATTACCCATTCAAAATTAAGAGTCAACACAGGGTTAACTATAACCTATGAAATATGGGTACTCTAAAAATATTATATGTTGTATGATTACAGATACTTATCCAGTACAGTGTGGTACGAGTATGATTACCGATAAAGCTGTTGGCCCGTTGGATAGGGGTGGACATCGGCATGTTGGCCTATCCAGCCCGACTGGCCCAACCCTATTTTTTAGGACTTGGGAAAGTTGTTTTAGCCCATATGGTCGAGTTGATCCAACATTTTAAACCCGAAATGTTAATGGGCTGGGCTTGGGATTTAAACTTTCAACCCAGCCCGGCCCGCTATTAAATTATTTATTTATTTATTTATTTATTTATAATACATTAAAATATATATTTTTTGTTAGTATTTAAACTTTATCTTTGTTGATTGTATTGAAACTCACATTTGTGGTGATGTGTGATTGAATTTATTTAAGAAGTCTTTCAATTTATACACACAATTTTTCAATTTCAATTTATAATGATATCAATATATTTATAGAAGAAATATAATGTGTAATTGAATTTAATTATGGAATATTTTAATTTTTTTTTAACATATAGCCCGATTGGTTGGCTTGAGATTTATAATTATTTTTAGACCAGGCTTGAACAGATATATAGAGACCCGATGTTAGGGCCGAACCGGGCCCCGCTTGGGTAAACACAAAATCCCTTATTATGTAATGTCAGCTCAGCCAGACGTTTGTCCATCCCTAATATCGGGTACACAACATGCTTACAAGTGTGGCTTAGACAGACAGGGCGGGTACGCCATGGGTACATTTCAGGTACAATTTTGGGTACATTGGGGACATAAATGTAATTTTTTCAAAATAGAGGGGTATGTTGTGCCTATTTTTATAAACTTAAAAATTAATTTAATTATTTTGTGCATTTGATTTTTAAATTGCTATATATCATGTACTATTATAAATAATATTTTTTTTTTCTTATCACATAACTAACTGTACATGTATCTTATTTTATTTTAGATTTTGCCTTATAGGCGTACCCATAACGAACCATTAGCCATGTTTCCTAGACTACTAATTGAGGCTTCAACTATGAAGCATTGGTATGGGTACAAGTACTGATACCTGTACAATATGGATATGTCGATATGTTAAAATTTGGAAAAAAGTAAGGTATGGATACGGTTTGGTACATTTGTAAAAAAATATTTATTTTTAATTTAGAGTAATGTAAAAATTAATTAAATGGTTTAATTTGACATTTAATGTCAAAAGTAAAGGTACAAACCAAAATTAAATATCATTATATTAAATAACTTACAAACCATAGCTTATTTTAAAATCATGCTAAGTATAAAATTAAAAATTAAAAAGAAATCTACTAAAAGAAATTTAATCTTTGTAGTAAAATGAAATATTATTTTTACTAAGGTATGGTACGGTACGGTACGATACGGCTTGGGTATATACTAGGTACGTTTGGGTCTTAGTTGCAAGAATCATGCAACCAGGTGACAAATCTTCGTAAGAAACACGATTCCGTGTTTCTTAGAAAGAAACGTGTAAGAATTGCATTTCTATAGAGAGAGAAACGCGATCCTGTCCAAGATGGGATCATTGGTGGAAATAAAACAACTCAGAAGCTATGAAGCACAAAAAATAAAGAGAGAACAGAAGAGAAAGAGAGAAGACCTTATCGGTTTTCGAAGGTCGTCGCTTGTCGTCTTTCGTCACTGCTTTTCTTCTTCTTCTTCTTCAATCTTCTTCGATCTTGTAAAGAAGACTTACAGTTGCTATAATAGGAAACGTGCACCATGCTTGGACACCGACCAATTCGCCGATCTCGTGTAGGCGATGTATAGCGACCCCGGTCTTTTCCCATTTGATTATTATATCCGGACTTAGGTTCCGTTTGTTCTGTCATTGTGTAATTATTGTTGTCGTCCTTTATTTTCTCATTTGGAGTTATAGGATGTGTTGGGCAGGTTTGTTTCAGGTTGGTTGGGTTCGTAAACCAAGTGTTGCTGTCCAGTTTTTGGGTTGGTCGCTCGAGCCAGGGCTTGGTCGCTCGAGCGAGGGTTGTATTTTGTGTCTTCTGGCTCGATCCAGCTTTGCTTCGCTCGAGCGAGCGATTGCATCTAGTATAGACCTGAGGGCAGTGCTTATTCGCTCGAGCGAGATTTTCTTCGCTCGAGCGAGAGAGGTGTATGTTTTCGAGTTCCTCGCTCGAGGGAGCATTCTGTCGCTCGAGCGTGCTGCTGAGTTGCAGACCTGAAGCATTGCATTTTTGGCTCAAGCGAGATTTTCTTTGCTCGAGCGAGGTTTCCGTGTGTCTGGTCGCTCGAGCGACCAAGTCTTCGCTCGAGCGAGCCTGTCCAGTATCAGTGGACAGTAGCGTTTTTGAACTTAACTTTTTCACTTTCTTTTTCTTCTAAAACCTAGATTCGAGACCCTCTCTCTCTACACTTGCACTCTCTCTAAGATTTGATCTCCCTAGAGTGTGAATCTAGCCTAGAGCCTTTGTTAAAAAGATAGAGGGCATTGAGAGCTTTGTTTTAATCTGAAAAAGTTTAGATTTGGAGCAAGTTGATCTTCAAGTCTTCATCTCCTTTGTGGCTTAAACTTCGAGGTAGGGATATCCTACTCCTCTCTATGGATTTTGTCTTTAAATTTTGGTATTTTGAGATGTTGGGGTTGGTTTGGTAATTTTGTGAAAGTTAGGGGCTTTTGTGTATTGATTATCATAGAATCCCATTTTCCTTTGTAGTTATGCCTATGAGAGGTTTCGATGTTATTTTGGGTATGGACTGGTTATCGTCATACCGGGCAGTTATTGATTGCTACCGCCAGAGAGTCACTTGTTGTACCGTGAATGGGGAGTGTTTTCATTTTCTGGGGGACCGGGTCGGTAATGTGTTGCCACCGGGGTATATTCCGCGAGGACGGAGTGAGCTTAGTGGTCTACTTGCCAACCTTTCAATTAGTGAAGATGTTGAGACTCAGATTGTGTTGCCAAGGGTGGTTTGTGCATTTTAGTGCTGTATCAAACTGGAAGTATGAAATGTTTGTTTTGAGCCTGAGTCTCATCTGTTTGTTGACATTGGAAGAATGTGAATATGATATATATATATATATAGTTCACTGTTGTAAGTTTGGCCAGGTTCTGAGCCATATTGATAATGTTGGAAAGTAAAACGTGTCTTAGACATTAGTGTCATGAGACTGTATAATGATGTAATTGATTATCTTGGTTAACCATCTATTGAATGCTATTGCTTTATTCAATGCTTATATTTGGTTTAGTATATTTCTACTGGGCTGTGGCTCACCCTATATGGGAACATCATTTTCAGGTTCAGGTGATAAGCTAGCTCCAAGGACTTAGCTTGGAAGGACTTGGACTTTGAAGACTATTTTCAGTTATTTGTTTTTTTTTTATTTGTTAGTACATGTAAACACTCAAGCCTAGGGCTTTATTTGTATTTGAGTTAGAACTCATACTTTTGTGTCCAAGTGTTGGCTTGGAAAGATGTAAGCCTGTAGGGCATTTAATTTGATGTTACATGTAATGTTTTTAGTTAGTAAGACTCTGATGAATGTTATAATGAATTGTTTCCTTTTTAACATTGCATGTTGATGATATATATATATTTAATGGGTTTATTTTTGAGGGCGTTACACGATGGAAATGAAAGAGAAAGAGAGAGCTCCTCCTGTCTCTGTGTGTGTTTAGGGCTATTGAAAAGACCTTTATATATATAAAAAGCTAGGCAAAGCCCTAATGGGCCTTAATGGAGAAGTACTGGCCTGTTTTGTATTTGGGTTTTGGATGAAACTTTGGGCCATGATGATTCATCATTTAACCTCATTGGTCCAAGAAAATAAAATAAAAGGATAAAATGATATTTTAGCCATTTATAAAATATCTAATTAAATCATATATAATAAAAAAAATCTATAAAATAAATCATCCAATTTTTATTTTTTATTTATTTTAACATATTTTATTATTCCTTATTTGTTATATATTTTTTTTATTTATAATATATATATATATATATCAATTAAAAATAAAAAATAAATTAAAAATATTACCAATAAAAATAATAAATATAATTAAAAATAATTATTTAACTCATCTTCATATAATAAATATATTTAAAAAATAACTACTAATATATATATATATATATATAATATATATATATATATATTACCGCTCCCCGAGGCGCTCCCTACCTAAGAAACTTCTATCGGCTCACGCTTCCTCGCTCCCTCTCCCGCCTCCACTCTGCTTCGTGCAACTAAGATTTGGGTATGTCAAAAATTAAGAAGAAAAAATTTGAATACGTATTTTGTATATCCAATATGTATGCGGAAATACTATACAAAGTACTATATACTGGTCAGTACCCGGTACAGATACAGCATATTTATTGAAGTAGGCATGCTCCATACGTTTTCAAACACACATTTACTAATATATGCACATTGATAAATAAGCAGGACAGGAAACTTACAGCTATTGCGACGAACACCAAGTAAAGCAACCCGAAAAATGTAGGCACCTTCGCTACGACCAATCTCAACACTACCAAAACTGTGTCCGACTCTCCGTTCATTTGTTGTTCCAGTCAAAACCACAGCTGGATCCATATTGATGTTCCCAAATTTGGTTCTATAGACAACAACTAAAGTTTCAATTCATTCTCAAAGTTATTCACCAAAAGATTTGGGCGTAAATAAACATATAGCTATGCTAGTAAAAGATGAAACTTTTGAAGCTTCATTGTTATACCATATCCAGAAAACAAATTTAGTCCAACACAGAAATTAGGAAAAATGAAATGAAGGCAATCTTGGTTCAGCTCCACACACATACACATGCAAATGTAGAAACAATCTATGAGCAAGTCAAACTATGTGCTTCAACTCTGTTATTGCCCTCTATGTCCACTCAGTTGTCCCTATCTTCATCATTATAAGTTGCAATATTCTGCACTACTATCCATTCTATTGCAAGTGCAGATGCATCATTACTGCTGCCACTATAGTGTGATGAGGGCTAAATAAGAGAGGATAATTAAATTCATGGAGGCAAAATTGTCTTTAAGAAAGAATGCTGCCATTTTAACAAAGGTTACAGCATTCATAGTTGAATGATAGCTCAAAAGCATTCATTAGTGTTCACCAATTGCTAAGCAAATTGGCTCCAGCAATAGTTTGGTTTTTTTTTTTTTTTTTAAAAGCCAGTAAAGGTGTACACAACAATATATAGCAAATATATATTGGCAGGAAATGTGATTAATATTTGTTACTTACGTTATTTTAATGTTGCATGGGAATACATTCATCGGAGACATCACCACGAATAAAAGAGAAAATAAGAGAGGACAGATATATGTAGAATACAGGATTTATGTGACTATACATGCTCCCAACAATGTTTCCAAGTGAAACAAAAGAAAGAGTCAATCATCTATTTCTAATGAGCTAGCATACAAGAGTAAAACCTTCAATCATACAAGAGTCAATCCTTTGTGTTTAACAAAACCTTCAAGCGTAATCATGACAGATAAAAGACATGTAACACAAATAGTCTAAAATCCTATATATATAACCAAACTTGTAACATTATGATTGACAAGCGGTTTTGTTTGCAATATAAATTATTTTTACATAGTTATGGCTGCCTTTTGAAAATCAACAAAATCATAAAGCTTACCATTTCCAACATATAAAGAGAGAAGATTAATGAGGCCAAAGAAACACAGGTAGGCAAATATACAAGTAAATGTTATAATTTGTGTAATACAACTTGAGATATAATCTCAATGCATCTGTTTATATTCTGGTTTGTGAAAATTTTTCAAAAACCAAATTCATAAGACTCAACCAAATAGATTTGATTCCCAACATTACTAACAGTGAGGCAAGACCAAAATATAAAATGCACACATTAAAAAAGTAGGGAAGAAGAGCATGTACACGCAACGAAACAGATCACATGTAATTTCAAGCCAAGGGCTTAATGTGTAAACGAGTTAGTACTCTTTTGTTGTAACCAAGTGTTAACTTGGAAAGCTGTAAGCCTGTAGGGCATTTTGCTTTTGTTGTTAACATGTAATACTTTTGTATGAAACTCTGATGTATAAAAGAATGTGGAACTTTTACATATCGACGAATGTCTTATTTGATGGGTTTAATGTTATTATTTTGAGGGCGTTACAGATGCAGAATCAAGTATCAGATTTACAAGAGAGAGAGAGGGAGAGAGAGAGAGGGTCTGGAAAAACTCAAGAAAGTGAGTTCAGAATCAAATGATGACGATAAATAAAACAAAAAAGTAAACAATGATAGAAACGACTCAGAGATTGATCGCTGGTAAATTATCGCAAAACCTGAATCTGAAGGGACGGCGGCGGCAACTCCTCCTCATCCTCCCCCTCCGCTCTTTCTATCTCCCTCTCTCTCTCTCTATCTATCTGTATATCTATTTCTTGCGAGGGAGGGAGTGAATGGATGGGTTTAGGGTTTGTGTGAGTCATTTGGTTTGGGTTTTAAAATAAAGTCACACCGTTCGTCCAGCGAAGAGTGAGGTATTTATTTCGCAACGCAGACAGAGGCCAGAGAGAGAGAGAGTGACAGATTCTTTCCTATTCCCTGACCAATTACGCGTGCCACCTCATGTTTTGAATGAGATCTCCTGCCACTTGGCCGATGATACCTGAGTACAAACGATAAAAGACCCATTTTACCCCTCTTGCCTATGCTCTCTGCTACCCTTCCTTGTGGGGTCTTCTACTCAGCATGCTTGGTTAGAGTTTTTCAAAAAAAAAATTTAGAAAATTTTATTTTCTTATTTTCTGTGTTTTTTTGTTTTTACTGAATTTTTTTAATATTTTAAGCAATTTTTTTAACTTTTTAGACATACCTAACATAAATATACCTAAAAAGTAAAAAATTTGTGAAAGAAACCTTTTAAAAATTCACTAAATACCAAAAATACAAAAAAAAAATATGAGAATTCCATACATATTTTGTATTTTTATGTATTTATTAATTTTTTAAAATATTTTTTCACAAATTTTTTACTTTTTAGATATATCTAAGTAAGGTGCATCTAAAAAAGTAAAAAAAAAAATGTTTAAAATTTTAAAAATATTCACTAAAAACAAAAAAACACGAAAATCAAAAAATTCAATTTTCAAAAAACTTAATCCAAAAAACTCAAACCAAACACATTGACTAGTATTACCATATCTATCAGCATTTTTTTTTACCAATTTTACACTACATTTTTTTTCACCAATTTTACGCTGATTTATTTAGGACTGAGCATGAAATCCGTGAAATTCATAATCTGATCCAGTTCAGTCCAATTCTATAGATTTAGATTGATTTTTTTAATCCGTGGTTCGGTTCTAGATTGAACCCCACAATTCCGAATTGGAACCGATCCAGATCATATACAAATAGTCTATATTTTTATTATACACCATCCCCCATAAACCTAAACTCGTATACGATCTTTTTTTTATTACTTTTGTTTGTTAGTTTTTAGTTTTACCTTGTAATGATCTTAATACTTATGATGAAACCAGTTTTCTTATCATTGTTTAAATTCTAGAACAATATGTCACTATATAAAAAGATATGTTGCTATTGTGGAACTAATATAGCGTTATGTTTATGTTTTTATGAAATTAAAGTGTTATATATATTTTTTTGTTATTTAATTATGTGAATCCGTGATACTAAACCGATCCAATCCGTGTTTAAATGAATTGATTCAGATTGGTTTCATGATTTAAACGGATTGGATTGATTTCAATTTTTCAAGAACCGTAGATAACGGATTGGTCTTGGTTTTACCTCAATCCGGTCCAATCCGGACCATGCTCACCTCTAGATTTATTCATTTAAATATCAATTATAAAATAAATTTTAATTATTCAACAACAAAAAATTAAAGCCTCATTTGAAAACTCTTTAGCCTAAAATTCAAAAAATTACTAAAAAAACTAAAAAGCCAACAATTTATACCAAAAAATTAAAAGATCTCTTTTCTCTCTACCTTTTGCACATCTTTACATAAAAAATTAAAAAGTCATTCCAAATATACTAATTTTTTTTACTAAAATAATATGTTCCCAAACGAGACATAATTGCTTCAATAAACTCTTTTTATTACTACATAAAAAGTAAAAAAATAAGAAGTTCAAACAGAATTGTGTTATGAGGCAACATTACCTTCAAAATAAAAGAAATTTTTTGTGCGCAAGAAACGAAATTGAAATTGAAATTGAAAATACTAGGTTGTATGAGAAATTTTCATATAAAAAAAGTTTGTATGTTTTTTGTTTTTTTTTTAAGTAGTATATTCTGTGTGCTTTCCAACTTTCTCATCATTTGGTGAAGTATCTCTGTATTTTTTTTAATGAAATTATGGCTTATTTTTTCATTCAAGGAAGAACTCTTCCAGTGTTAAGGTTTGACTCCCGTGGAGCTGGACCATAAACAAGGGTAACCTCTGTGATTGTACAATTGTTGTTGTGGATTTTTTTATTTATTTAAAAATATATACATTGGAATACAAATACAACTTTTGAAATCAAAAATCAGAAAGAACTTACGCAGGCACGTACGTTGAGAGGGTAAAAACCCTTGATTTTCTAGTGAGATAAAAGATCAAATGCTTCGGCTAACTGGGTATATCAACGGGGTTATGCTCTAACAAAGTGGGGTTATAGAGCCAACCAACCAATACTTCTTACTTTTACGTCCAGACCCCTTCATATGTATGTCCCCCTATTATATGTTACTCAGCACAAGAAACCAAATAACCCAATAATGGATAGGAAAATCTACAGGAAGTGTTGTTGCTTATATGGTTCACGGTTTCCAGGATTAACTGAATTACAAAACATGAGGTATTACTTGTTGGAACAATCTTCTGTGTAAAAAAAAATAAATTGAAATTAAATCAAACAAAATAAAATAAATAACTTACATAATTTATTTTATTGAACCGAATGAAAAATAAAAGACCAAGTCGAGTGTGTGACACTCTATCCTTAAGACAGATTCGCCCCGCTTCGGTGCTTACGGACTAATGGTGTCTATCTCCCAGGATACAATGATCTTCACAAATTTGTAATAGCACTCCAAACAAATTTGTCTGGCAAACTAGAACCTTGTGTTCTATACTCTCTTTAATTTTTCTCTAAAACTAGAATGAAGAATAAATAATGCAAATAGAGCAAAGTTGGACAGCAAGAAAATTAATTTTTTCTATCTATTTTCTAGATGCAAAGATTGCAGAACAAATATGAATTTATAGGCATCTAAGACTGTCAAACAGGTGCAATATTTTGAACTGAACAGGTAAGGTTTCAAATGAACAGGTGCAAACACCAACTGAACAGATAACTGCTGAAAATAAGATCTGTTTGAACCTATCAAACAGTGCAAATTTGGAACTGTAACTGCTGGGCAGTTATGAGCAGTTTTATGCAGCTAATCTGTTGAAAATACGGACTGAAGTTGGTAATTGTTGGCTACATATTTTGTACAAGCCAATTACAATTCGACGCGTGACAGAATAAGGGTAATACAGGAAGACTATTCAAGTCTTTGATCCTGATCGTACACGT